AACATGCCACATTGAGGAGTTCGAAATTAATTACTCCTTTGATGTCCCACCAAATGCAAAGCACCACTTTCTGTAGATGGAGTCCAGGTTTTTGGGGTCAGAAGTGGTTTTTGTCTAAGACTGAGCCATTGTTTTTGGCATTATATATTTGCATAGAGAATCCACTTTTCATCACCAGTGACAATTCTGTCCAAAAATGTTTCACATGCATTACGTGCCAAAAGAGACGAAGCAACGTTCACACGCTGGAAACAATGATCAACGGAGAGTTTGTGAGGTACTCACACACCTTCTTTAAGGAGTTTTTCCATATTCCTTAGATGTTTACGTATTTTTTCATGAGAGACATGTAATTTCAGGTCCATTTCATGAGTGTGTTGTCTTGGGTTAGATTCAACAAGTGTATTCAAAGCATCAGTATAAATTCTAACATGTTGGCTCCTGTCCTCACAGTTTTTATGGCTGAAGTCACTTAAACAAAATTTGTTGAACCGTCGTTGACACTTACGAACATTCTTTGTGGCTACAGAGGCATTGTTTCCCTTCTTGTATTCAAACAGCATTACATGCCAAATGTGTGTCTCGTCATGTGCCATCACAAAAGGGATTAAGTATACAAAACTTAGCACATTATATAGGCTACACTAATGTGACATTTAGGTGGCTCATTTAACTATTATACGTGACATTAACTTCTTGATGACCAAATAGTATTATTTTATTATTAATATTTTTGTTTCACAAGTCTACAGCAAAATCAGCTGGATATTTTGCACCAAAACCTACACAGATATATTACATGAAATGTTGCAACTGTCCATGACCTATTTAAAAAGATTATTTTCCATTGAAAGTTGATTTTCATGACTATAAATTCATAATATATGCATTGTTGTTTTCAGCGACTTTCTTTGTCCTTAACGCTTGTTAAACACGTGTTTATGTGAAACCTCAGGTACAAAACCACTTAGCTCAGTAAATAATGGTTGGGTGGAGAAAAAAGCCAATGCAGCAGTAAACTGTTGAAAAACAGTTGTAACATTCAACTGAATGCATATGCACGTATGTAGTTTAAAATTAATTCTCCATAAATGGACATAAAAAACTTAAGAAACAAAATAATCAAAAATTGATAATTTAAAAATAGGAATATGGATCATCACAAAAATACAGAAACAAGTTGAATCAAAATGCAAAAATTATATTTTCATGCCTACAATTAGGGAATCTAAAAACAAGTAAACAAACTAGGCTGGAAATAGTGTCTAAATCAGGCCTCGTCAGATATTTTCAGATCTAGGAGCCAGGTGTACCTAGCCTAACTTCACTATTGTTTGTACCAGGTATTGGGGGCTTGTATATTCATTTACTTTCATAGCAACGAGTGCATGTGAACAATCGCATGTTATCAACAACCACTTGACAGTATTGTCTGAACTAACTGCCTTTGGTACCACCTAAGTCTAAATATGTGCATTGATTGTTTGCATTCAGAGAAAGAAGAAAAACAAAATCGCACAAAATTAGTAACATGATGTGCAACTACAGCATTTCATTCCTGAAAAAACATGAAGTGCTGAATCCTCCATTAAAATATCCTAGAAACAAAGTTCAATTTCGGACTCAAAGAATGAAAAAATTGTTCCGGAGTTTCAAGAGTCCAGAACTGTTTTGAATTTGAGGTCCATTTAGCACAGCCCTACACATGAAGAAAATGGGCACCATGATGAAATTTCTAGTTGCCATAGTGACCTGGCACACTGGATTTGTCAGGGCCTGGCCTAAATTATTTTCTCAAGCTAGAAATCCCTATTTTGATTCCACTAAAACTGATAAATACTGTAAACGTGGAGCCAAAATAAGAATTTGTAGCTTGAGAAAATAATGTAGACACTATTGTCAGCCTGGTTTGTTTACCTTTTTTTTTTTCAGAGTCCCTAGTAGCAGGCTTTAAAATATAATCTTTGCATTCTGATTAAATTTGTTTCTGTACTTTTTTGATGATTCCTATCCACTTTATAAATTAACAATTTTTAAAATTTCTTGTCATAATTTGAATTGTGAGTATAATTTGGATAGGAATAACCTTAACAATGTTATGAAAGAAAGGGATCTTGGTGTAGTGGTTGATCAGTCTTTTTAGCCATCCAAGCATTGTGCTGTTGTTAGTGCAAATAGGATCTTAGGTTGCATCTAAAGAAATATTGAATACAAGTCTATAAAGTTTATAATTTCATTGTACAGGTCACTGGTTAGGCCACATTTGGAGTATTGTGTTTAGTCTTGGGCTTCTTACCTGAAGAAGGACATTGAATTGTTGGAAAGGTTTTAAGTATGGAAGGGGGCTACTAGAATGGTGCCTGAGATGGAGGGGTTGTCATACGAAGAGAGATTAAGATCTGTAAAATTGCTTTCTCTTGAAAAAAAGAAGTGTTAGAAGGGATCTGATTGAGGTGTTTAAGATTGTAAAGAGAATTGATAATGTTGATGCATCATCTTTTTTATATTTAACAGTGAGAATTATAGGAGTAGAGGACACAAATATAAATGTTGGCAGGGTAAGAGTCATCTTCAGCTAGGACAATTATATTTTTCTAACAGAGTGGTTAGGTTTTGGAATGGGTTGCCATCAGATGTTGTGGAAACAGTAAATTTAAGTGAGTTTAATAGAGAACTTAATAACAAAATGAATGATAAGGGTGGCTTTGAGGGTTTTATTATTATTATTATATAAAATTTAGTTTAGTTTATAGGATAGGACAGCCTAGATATACCAATGGGTCCCTTTTTGTCCCTAAACATTATGTTATGTAGAATTTACTGAAAATAATAATGAGAAATCATGAATAACAGTAATTAACATACTTGGGTAGTTGGATTAATAAAAATCAGAAACACTAATCTCAGTAAGTTTATTTTAATGACACCGATCAACTTAAATGTAATTTTGATCACTTCATTATTTTACATGGAATTAATTAATATAATCAATTATATTGCATAATCATGTTAATACCCAGCTCTAGGAATAATTTATAAATCTGCTGATAACATAAAACTCTTAGGTATCTGTAGCTCTATTGAAGATACTTACATACAAAATAACTTGGGTCAATTGGTAAGTTGGACAAATATACTTGTTAAGGTCAGTCATTCAAACACAGCAGGGAAGCTCAATTGTGTAAATTAATGGTGTAGCATAAGCAAATACATATAAATTATAATACCCTTTTCAATTTCAGATTTGTTTACACAACTCAAAATGTCATGAAACATACAGTACAAAGCATGCAGTATTTGTAGCAGTTCTATATTTATTATTGAACTTGAATTCTTTCACTGGCAAAAACTTCCAGTTTTTGAAAAATTATTTTTTTTTCTATACTATTTAACTTTCAGTTTTATGTTGGAAAAGCTTAAATTAATTATTGTTTATGTCATTGTATAATGTCCAATAAACCTGAATACAATGAGTTTAACAGTAAACCCAATAAAATTGCAAGCCTCATATATACTAAAGAAAACTTTTGCCTACCTTTATAGCCATACTCAATATTTTGCTATAGTTTCTATTACTGAAAGAATAACCCATTTTATGAAAATATACTGACTTGCAGACTATTGTGCTTTAACATAACAAAAAATGGAAGGATACATCACACATGTAGTAAGTTCTTTGACTAAGCACATAACATGTGAAGCTACATTTTCTAGCTTAGCCATGTTTAAGTTTATGCTCAATGCACAAAAACATTTTTAATTTTATAAAATATTTCATTAAGTTTTTTGTTTTTTTCTGGTGAATTAGAAATTCTACTCTGTTTTCTATTCAAAGCAATGTGTTTAAGCAGTTTAGTGCTGTGAAAAATTTCCAGTTTTTGTTCATGCTAGTTGATTCCTGTAGTTAACCATCGTTTTATACACTATTGTCAGATGACACAGTCATTATGCAAGTCATTTTAAACATTAAATATTTTTAATTATCAAATACTGAACAACATTGCAGAACATTTAATACTATATTTTCCTCATTATATATGAACTATTTCTGATCAAAGGTAATACAAATCAGAACCAAAAACTTTATATAACATACAAGTAATTGAGGCTGTCCAGAATAACGAGCCGAGTAGGATACAGAATTATTAACTTAACATCATACATCAATACTTATGACACAAACATTTCCTTAGAAAAGCAGTTTCATTAGGTGTATGAGTGTTAAGCCATAAGCATAAAACTTTAAAGGACTAAAACTTAACTCAGAATGTTTTAATAAAAAACAGGCAGTATGGAGCCTTTGTAGTTCAATAATAGATGACACTGAAACTGGTGTAGTGAGAATACAATAATAACCAGTTTTGAAGTCTATTTTAAATTTTTACTATTAAATGTTTTTAAATTTAGCATCTTCATGGCATTGTTAGTTGTTCCACATTTTCTTTTTCTCTATAGCATGAAACAAAATATTATAGTCAAGTAAACAAGAAATTCATTAACTTACCGTTTATAAATTATACTTCTCTGAGACTGGAAAGTGAAGTTATAAAAATCCTGGCATAAACTGCAGGCTAACAGAAATGGTTGTAGTAAAAGAAAGTATAATATGATCTTTCAATAGTAGTTATGTATGTACACTTTCAAAGTCTTTCACACTGCCAACACGGTAGTTACTATGATAACGAATACGATCAAGACTCCAGTCAAGTGACACTGGCAATGACAGTGTCACCAAAGCAAGGTACTACTACTAGGTAGGCTACAAGGCATTGAACGAATTTAGTCTAACGGTAATATATACAGCTATTACTCTCGACAGTAACTTAAATGTTAAATTGCTTACACAAATATGTTCTTAAACTTCGATTTATTGTTCTTTACAACTTAATCCCGAAAGATTATCTAAAAACTTAACGTTAGTCACTTTCTTCTTTAGGCCTAGTTGTTAATCATTCTTCAATTTAAATTAAAGCCTTACGCTTTAGCCAGTTACTTTTGTGAGCAATCTAATTCATAATCATATAATCCAATAAATTGCAAACGTTACTTTCATAAGAAATACTTTACTTAAAAATGTACGATGTTATTCAACACTGCAGCATTTACAAACGCACTACACCCACAAATAAGTTTAATTGTCCACAATATTATTAATTGTTAGCTACATTCCACCACACAAGCCTTCATCCTCTCACCCTGTCTTCCAAAACTTACAATAATCACGTGACATAATATATCTTAAATTTTTATATTGATCCATTACTAATATATTTTACTCATCATAGGGCATTAACTTTTATTACTGATTACACTTTCTTTGTGTTTAATATCGCATTTATCTTTTAACAAAAATAAAAGGTGAAAAAAGAGCAGTATTTTTCAAATAGAGTGGACAGACGGCAGTTAAATCGCTTACAATTAAACAAACAAAAATGCTGTATTACGGATTGCAAATCGTTAGGTTAAGTTTAAAAACAGTAAAGAACAGAAACGTTTTTCCCCTATTACAAAAATAAAAATACACAGGGTACTTTAAGTTTGCTTACTGCCAAAAAACAAAATAGCGATAATGATTAAAATTCCGTAATTCGCATGTTTGATGTATAACAATTAACTGTGTATAAAAAGAATACCTTGAATATTGTGTGAAATCATTTTGAGTAAAGTAATATTGAAAGAAAGAGATGAGTTCGAATAAAATAGAAAAACAAAAATACTATTGCTTAAGGCTTATTTTGTTTTTTCCTTACTATTTCTCAATACATATATAGAATATAAACGTGAATTATTTTAGAGAAGATGCCATAGTAATGACATATAGTATTTTGATGTTTTTTGATTTAAAAATGGCACTGCTTTTAAAAATAACAAATACGCAAGAAAGTTTGTGAGAATGGGCCCAAGCTATCAACTGGAAAAAAAAATTATATATATATATCGATAGATAGATAGAGAGTAAGATCTACTAGATTGATAAGACAATTATATACATACACATATTTAATTTTATATACATCTATATATTTTAGGGTAAAGCTATGCAATGGGTTATCTATGCTGCATTTGTTCTGAGATCAGAATTTAAGCTTTATAAATCTCGAAACTTACTACTGTGACACTGGAAGAGTTTTTGTTGTTGTTTTTTATTTTGAATGAAATTTTCACGTCAGCTTATCCTCTTATATTGGGAACTGGTCTTACGATTTACTGTGGAAGAAAAACTGACAAAGTCTTCTATATGATATTTGGACTGCCTAAACATATTGTTGCGTCATCGAGATCACGTGACTATTCTCAC